GGTTGCTTGTGGGGTGGAGGTCTCGGGGTTTGCGTAAGGAAGTGGTGGAGGCAGATGTGAGGTGAAAGATATGCGGGGACCTCGACAAGGAAGGGGTGCGATGCAAAAGTTTGGATGGGTGAGGACGGCGGCGTGCTGGCAGGCAGGCGGCAGCAGGCGGGTGTGCGTCGCTCCCAGCGCACCTCTCCACGCGCTCCTTGACGATGGGGCGGTCCTCCACCTGGGCAAACTCCTCACGGCCACACACCTTGGTTTCGCAGGGCCCCGGGGGCGAGGGTGTTTGAGGGGGGCCGTTCAGGTGAAAATGTATCAAAGGGGTGCTGTGGGGCTCAGGGTGGGCAGCACTACTAGTGGCTGCGACAAAACAAAGCTCAAGGCGCAACGGGGGCAGCAAGCGAAGGGCTGAGAGTGCTTATTGGTGGTAGGAGTGTGTATATGCGGTGGGGTTTCATGGGTGCCTGTCTGGCAGCGTCACTAAACGGATGCCAGGAGGTGCGAACGAACGGGTAGCCACCCCGCGTCACCTGCTTTGGGATACGTGGTGACAGGCAGGTGACGAATGGACAGCCGCGAGGCAAGCAGTTGATCCGGTCACAAAAATCTTGATGACAACAAGCCACTCCCAAATCATGCGCGCGTGAGCTTCACCCAGAACTGACAGGTAGGGAAGCCGGAGGCGGGAAAGGACCCGAATTCGCGCCTCCCTGACTTCTCCCCCCTACTCCGCACCTCCGGGCCGACGGCCGCCTCGGCGCGGCCCGCCGCGCGCTCTGCCGCGTGCGCGGCCCTCTCGCCAACCCCCTCGTGCGCCGCGAGGCCCTCGCCGGGGCCCATCCCCGCGCCGACGCCCGCGGCCAGCGGCGCGCCACCACCCAGGCCGGCTCCGGCGCCGGCGCCGGCGCCCATGCCCGTGCCGGCAGCGCCCAGACCCTCGGGGCCGGCCATGGGCCCGCCCTCCACGCGCACACGCTCGTGCTCAACCGCAACGCCAGGCTCGCCTGGAGGGGGTAGTAATAATCAGTGCATGATGCAGATGAGGGCCAACGAGTCCGCAGGCAGTTAGAGCGGATGTGTACCAGAAGCAGCCAAACGTCAGGGAGGCAAGCTGTGCAGATTAGGCAGCGCATGCGCGGCTGCCCGATTTGCGGTTTGGTGAATGGGGTTGGCGGCCATGCGCGCATGCGCCCTGGCAGGCGCGATGCGCAAAGGCGCGCAGACGTGCATCGCGCGCGGATGGGGCCAGCGTGCTTTGCGCCATTCAGCCCGAGGGGCGATGCCCGCTCCGGGCTGCGGGTGCGTGGCCACATGCTGCATGCACAACGGTGCATACAGCAAGGCGGCAAACCCTCCATTATCTCCACAGCAGTCCTCACCCGTCATGGCGGCGGCGGTAGGGGTGTAGCCGGGCTCCTGCGTGTGGGAGGTTTCGGGAGGTTTTGACAGGCTATGAGGATCTCGCGACCTCGCCGATCACGGCCATACATCACAATCCAGGAGGAGGTGTGCGAGGTTGTTTGGGGCTCGGTGGGGGGAGGTGCAAGAGGGTGGTAAAGCGGTCCAGGTTCGGCGGGACCAGAACGTAAGGGACCAATCCCAGCACAGGGGCGGATCTTCGAAGTGAGGGGTGGATGGTATGGAGGGCAGCACGCTTTTGCACTCAATTGGCCCCAGCAGATCCGCAATGCTCTCGCCCAGCAGCCCCGCAGGCCTCGGGGAGCAAAGAGGCCGGACTGGCGCCCCAGGCGCATTGCAGCTCATGCGGGCGCTCGCGTTTCTGCCGAGCGCGCGAGCCGGGCCGCTGGGACAAGGCGGGTCCTGCCGGCTGAGTCATCGCGGATGCAAACGGGAGTCGCTATCCTCGGACGTGATTGCGCGCGCCGCATGGATGGCTGGATTGCGCGCGGCGCGGGTTCCCATCATAAGATTGCGTTGAATCACCGTGCCGTGGCGCTCGGTGTGGCGGCCAGGAGTCACGGCTTCCTGGGAAGGAGGGCGGGCGTGTTGGGATGGTGGTGGGGGGTCGGATGAGGGCAGGGCTGAGCGGCTGTGTAGCGGCGATAGAGGGCTGCATGAAGGGCATTCATGCGCTTGCCTTGATCTTGTGGCCGAGTCCCATGGTGACTGGTGGCGGATCGAGGTCGAGAGCGTCCCGAGTCTGATGCGAGATCGAACAAGGGTAGACTTGCGAGCTTGAACGGCTCAACGGCTGGTTCGGGAAAGTTTTGAAGCAGTGATAGATCATTTATCGCGCTAATAGTCCCTAAATGAGCCAGCCACAGCTGCACCTGGCACCCTGGTGACACGTCCTGATGTCAGCGGTGACGCACTTGTGCGCTGTTCTCCAAGCAGAAGCCCTTGGAGTGCTGCTGCACAGGTAATTGCATGTTTTGTGAATGCTGGTAACGGACGGACAGACAGGCACAACAGGAACAACTGCGGCGCAGCAAGAATGCCAACACAGCCTGCCGTTAGTTGGCAAAGTGCTGCAGCTGCTTATATTCGTTTCATGACAGGCAGGCCGCATGATTTTCCACCATTAGAGTGCTTTGTCGCCCAGGCTAGGTGGTCTGTGAGGTTTATACTGGTGACCGAGGGCTGAGGGTTTTTTGACTGCGCTGGCACACTCATGGCGCTGCCTGCCTTGGCTTGAAACCATCCGGCCCTCACACTGATACGACGGACCCACTGCAAAAAGCAGGCAATGTGTGCCATTCTGACAGGTCATGTGTTGTCTAGATTGGCTTGATGGGCCGTTGAGGGCATTATGTGCAGCACCACTCTTGATCACGGGGCGTGTGCTGTCGAGGGACCGCCCGCAATTGTTGTTTTCCAGCTTTGGGCGCAACAGGACGGTCAGATGGGGCGGGACACTTTCCACGCGCCGCGCTGTTTGGGGCCGGCAGGTACGCGCCGCACTGGTGCGGCCAGCATTGTACAGGGACGCCGCGGTTGTAGCTCAGCTCCTTCAGGTCAGAGACATTCATTGAGCCGGCTGCATATAAGACTGAAACATGGTCAACATTGCAACCCGTGGTTAGGCCGCTCTGGATGCGAGCAGGTGCGTATCTGGTGTGTCTCAGACGACGGAGGCTCCATCCCGCGTCACTTCATGCACGTGCTTAGTCAGCATACCTATCTCAAGCGATTCACACACATGGTTGTGCAAGCCGCGCTCAACATGTTGTGAGAATCATCTGCGCATCAAGTCTGAAGCACGAGACTTTTGATTAAGCGAAGCGGCATGCAGTCCTACCTGCAACCACGCAAGCAAATGCGTCGAGGGGCAAGTCGATCGCACGCCGTGGCTGTGGTGCCGCTGCTCAGCACATCAACAGCGACTACTAAAAAAATGGTAAATCATTTAGCACACAGTTTCCACGTACCAGTAGCGCAAACAGTGATGAATCTTGATCGTTTGATGGCGAGACTGAGAACTCAGCGCAAAGCAGCAAGGACCCTGCGCGCGAGATGTACCATTCAAACTACGACCTTTCTCTTGATTTATAGTACGGACCAACGGGTCAAACGCGGTCAACCGAGGCAGGTTGCGCATCAGCCAGCTCGGCACCGATGCATTTCCTATCATAAACTCGTCAAGCTATTTGAGCACGCAACTTATTTTTCTTTGATATCTTAAGCTTGGGCTCGGGCGAGTGCGCAGACGTCGCACCACAACCCGCACGGCGCACTGCTGTGCACCGCTGCTGCTTCTGCTGCTGCCGGGGCGCCGGTGGGCTGCAGCGTGCGCGCGCATCAGTGAGGCCCAGCGGCGCCGCAGCGGCGCGCGCCCCGAATGGAGGAACAGCAGGGGGAGGAGGAGGCGCAGCCCTGCCGCATCCAGGTGAGCGCAAAACTGCGGCAACCCCTTCCAGTGTTGCGCTTGACCGTCTCTTTGCCAGCAGCGCCGTCGCTCGCGCCTGCAACCCTGCGGCCGCGATTGCCGCTCACATCACGACGCACATGCAGCATGCAGCGCAATCAAGAAAACCGGCCGCACCTGCTGACGGGGGGCGCAGGTGGTGGTGCGCGTGCGGCCAGTGCTGCCGCACGAGAGCCTGGGTGACGTCGCGGTGACGTGTGCGCCCGACGGCACCAAAGTCCAGGTGCGGGCGGCCGCGGCGGCAGTCGCCGCCCAGGCAGCGGATTGTGGCGGCGTCTGCTTGCCACCCGGAGGTCCAGAGAGCGCCGTGGATTGGTCGTTTTTTGTAATCTTGACGCAGAATGCGTCAAGGGCTGCACCCTGCAACGAGGACCCGAAAACGCTGCGGACGCAGCGCAGCATCAACAACCGCCGCCTCGTCGCAGCAGCAAGGCGGTGGCGGCCGGGCTTTGCCACGTCAATTTCTCCTCACCAAAGCAGCGCCCTCCGCCGCGGCCCTCCAAAACAGGTGCTGCTGCCAGAGCGCGAGGGCGCCAAGCCCCAGCTCCCGTCCCCTCACGCCGCCTCGGCCCCTGCGTCCGGCCACCGCGAGCGGAGGGGGTCCGGCGCCGCGGGGGCGGCGGACGCTCGCCTGTATGAGTTTGACGCATGCCTGGCGGGCGCGACCACGCAGGTGATGGCTGCAGGCGAGGTTTGCGAGCACGACAGGCGTTTATTGAGCTGCCATTGATGCTACTACGCGCCCTCGCAGCGGGGGCGGCGGCTCGGGTGGATTGCGCGCCCACCCGCTGCGGCGCGCCTCGGGGCGGGGGCGACACATGCGTTTGAAGCTGGACGAGAGCTCGGGGCACTTTGCTTCAAGAAGCCTCGGTATTTACCGCCCGCCCTGCGCCCGGCGCGCTGGCCTTCTCACTGCGCGCGTGCAGGCCCAGCTGTACGATCTCTGCGGGGTGGAGGAGCTGGTGGAAGCTGCCCTGGACGGGTGAGAAGCTGCGGGGCAGACAGGGAGGGGAGGGCGGAGCGCCTGGCTCGCCATTGCCACTGGTTGGAAGCTGCGTGGTCGGAAGCTGAGGAAATGTTCAGTGCCTTGATGGATGGCTCTGCAGGGCAGCTGCTTCGACAGGCGCGGCCGATGATGACATGTACAATGGTTCACACGCCTTTGGCCGTCCCCCTTGTCCATCCACCACGCGTGCGTCGCCGGTGACCCCGCAGGTATAGCGCCACAGTCTTTGCGTTTGGTCAGACCGGCAGCGGCAAGACCCACACAATCATCGGGCCGCGCTTGGGGCTGCAGGGGTTGGCAGCGGGCAGCAGCCAGCAGCAGCAGCAGCAGCAGCAGCAGGCAGATGATGTCACCACATCATTAGTCACTGAGGAGGACGGGCTGCTGCCGCGCTGCATCCGGTCGCTCTTCAGGCGAGTGGAGGGCCCATTCTGCCTGCCTGACCCTGCCTACGATGCCAAACGCTGCCTCTTCATGTACTCATGCTGTCTGCTGGCATGCTCGTGCCTTCAGACGCTGGCTGTGTTTGACTTCATTTTCTTCACTTTTTGTACTGCCTGCTTTCTCCATCGCCGGCCTGTCTCAACCAATTTGCAGCATGGCGGCGGAGAGGGCGGCGGATGCTGATCATGAGATCGAGGCGTCCTGCTGTGAAGTATACAACGAAGCAGTGGCCGACCTACTGGCGGCGGACAGGCAGCAGCAGCAGCGCCCGATGCAGGTGCGGTTATTTGGGGGCCCGGGTGGTGGGGGCCCGTGGAAGGCCGCGTGCCTGCATGGCATCGATGACGCATGCACGTGTCACCAAAAACGATGGTTTGCACTTGAACACTGACTGGCCGCCGCCCATTCATGTGGGACACACTCATGCTTCAAAACCACCATTTTCCTGTCTGTCAGGTGAGGCAGGACCCGCGGACCGAGGCCTTTTACGTCGCCGGCCTGACGCAGCGGCGGGTCGCAAGCGGCCAGGAGGCGCTGGGCGCGATGGCAGCGGCGCTGTCGTGGCGCCACACGCGCGCGCACCGCCTCAACGCGGCGTCCAGCCGCAGCCACTGCCTCATGACGTTCACGGTGAGAATTCCTGCACCCAGGGTGCGGGATAGGTGGCAGGTGGACATGAGTACATGGGCGGTTTGCAATGCTGAAATCACCCTGCATCCCGCTTTGCAGCTTGCCTGCTCATCAAACAATTGTTCTATAGCTCCATCCCACACGATTTCCATTTGCTTGCAGGCTTTGCGTCGCGCCGCCTGTCTCGCCAACTCCTAGTTGCTTAACTGCCCAGGATCCATACTATTCGCAAAGCCCCGCCAACGGCCTGTCATTGCGCGCTTGCTGCAAAAGCCCTCCCTCCCCGCCTCCCACTTTCCATCCAAAGTGCATGCGCCTCGGAGCACGCACGCGTGCGCGCCACATCCGCCACCCCCCACCGCTTCCCCCTCCCCCTCGCCGCCGCCGCCGCCACGCCAGGTGCGGAGCGAGGACCGGTCCGGTGCGGGCGCGCGCGGCCGCGGCGTGCGGCGCTGCGGCAAGCTGGTGCTCGTGGATCTCGCGGGATCCGAACGGCTGCGGGAGACCGGGAGCGGGGGCGGCTATACCGCTGGCGGCGGCGGCGGCGGGGGCGGCGGCGGCTTCGGCGGCGGGGCCGGCGGGGCGCCAGGCGGCGGCAGGGACGCGCTGCGTGAGACAGGGGCGATCAACAAATCGCTGTTCACGCTGGGCCAGGTGGGCGCGATGGGAGGTGTCTAATGTTTTCTTAGCATTGAGCTTGCATTTCCCGTTGCGAAAATGTGGGGGGGGGGCAGGAGAACCGTTTAGGCAGGCAGGACAGGGGAGCAGGGTGCAACATGGGCCTGGGGTGCACAACAGGGCTGTATGGCCAGCAAGGCAAGGGTTGGGTTTTCAGGGGCCTTTTGGTTCAGCACAATTCCAAATTGGCCAGGATTTGCTGCGACGCCGCCTTGCCGAGACCCGCACCCGCCCGCCCGCACGCCCCGCCTCCCTGCACGCCGCCTGCTCCCGAAACCAACCCTGCGCGCCGGCTGTCAACTATTATCCACTCCACGCCAGGTCCTGTGCGCGATGGCGGGCGGCGGCGGGCGCCAGGGCCACTCCCACGTGCCATTCCGGGACGCGCGGCTGACACAGCTGCTGTGGGACGGCCTGCGGGGCAGCGGGCGCGCGCTCATGGTCGCCTGCCTCGCGCCGCTGCGGCGGCAGGCTGAGGAGAGTGCCAACACGCTGCACTTTGCAGGGATGGCTCTGCGGGTGCAGGGGGAGCCCGTGGTCAGCATCGATCCGGAGGTCGGTTGGTGGCCGGAAGTCGGAGAGACGGGCTGTCTCCCTGGTTAAGGGAGCAGTGGGGGGGGGGTCCCTGGGGGGGTGTTTTCAAGGCTTGCTCTGGAAAAGCGCTGCGAGCCAGGTCCGGCTCGTAGCCCACTGCGTTGCGCGGCGCAGGAGTCTGGCGTCGTCGCCCGCTCGGCGCTACTGCCCGCATCGGCCAATCCCCGCCGCGCCATGCCAAAACAAACAAACGCTCAAACCTGCGTGCGTAGAATGTGGCTTTTCAGGGTCCCTGTTTGCCACATGTGGCGTTTTTGTCCACCCCCCGCAGGACCAATTTGTGCTCGAGCTGCGCGGCACCATCAGGGCGCTCCGCGCCGACATCCGCTCGCTGGCCGGCGCGCTGCTTGCGGTCGGGCAGCCGGGCGCTGACGTCAGCGCGGTCCTGCAGTCGCTGCCGCCGACGCTCGTCCAGGTGGGGCCCCGCCCTTGAGCCGCACCTCCATGCACACGACGTGTCGCTGTGATGTTTTGGCCACCTGTTGCTGAACCCCTGTGAAGCTTGTGTTGGGTTGCTGGCATTGAATCCTGTCCAATGTGTGTGTGTGTGTGTGCATGTGTGTGTGTGTGTGTGTGCATGCGTGTGTGTGTGTGTGTGCATGCGTGTGTGTGTGTGTGTGCATGCGTGTGTGTGTGTGTGTGTGTGCATGCGTGTGTGTGCATGCGTGTGCATGCGTGTGTGTGTGTGTGTGTGTGTGTGTGTGTGTGTGTGTGTGTGTGTGTGCACATATGAAGGAATGCTGGCTGGGGAGTGCAATTCGCAGATGTCACCCCGTTCCCTGCCGTTTCGCTGCCATGCTTCGATTTCACTGTCTCCACACGCCGGCCTTTGCAGGATGCGCTGCGGATGGGCGTCGCCGGTTCCGCGCCGACGGGCGACCAGGCGGGCTGTGGCGGCGGCGCTGCGGGCGCGCGGAGAGCGCGGGCGACGACGAGCAGCGGGCGGCGCAGGGTGGTGAGCGCTTGCTGTTTGTGGCTTACTTGGTGGTTTGTGTTTGTGTGTGCGTGGGTGCATGGTTATGTGTGATGGGGGGAGCACGTGTATGTGCGTGCTTGAATGTGTGCTATTGTACATGTACGCAGACGTGATAGCATTGATCAAGCCTGTGCGTGCGTGCGTGCGCACGCGTGCACATGTCCATTGATCAGGGCCAAAGCATCTGCCCGGGCGGGGCACTTGCCCCCACCACACGGGCCACGGCCACCACTTTCCCTACCACATTAGGTGCCGCACGCACCCAACAATCGCCCCCAGTGTGTGTGCGCGCACACACGCTTGCCCACGCGCCGGTTGCCCCCTCACACATGGAAACATATCTGCTCTGCGCCCCCTCCCTCCTTCCAGCAACAACCCCAGCCGGCAGGTCTTCTCGTGGGTGCCCCAGCCAGCCTCTCCGCCTCCCTGCCCGCTGCCAGCGGCGCGTCCAGCCCCCTGCCCGGCAGCCCCGCCCGCCGCGGCCCCTCCCCGCTCTGCACCAGCCCGGGCCCCTCCCGCCAGGGCACCGGACAGCGCCGCCGCGGGCCGGCGGCGGCGCCGGCGGGCGCCTCTTGGGGCAGCAACGGCCGCGCGTCCCCTCTGCTCGGCGCCGCACCGCCGGCCCGGACGGGCGGCGGCCCCGGGTCGCCGCTGCTGCCGCGGCGGCAGCCGGCATGGGTCGGCGCGTCCGCGTTTGCGCCCCTCCTCGGCGCACCGCCGCCGCAGCCGCCGATGCCGCCCACGTCTCCGCCGCCGCCCGGCGGCTGGGCGGGCGCGACAGCGTGGCCCCTGCTGCCGCCGGGTGGCAGGACGCGAGGGCTTCAGACGGCGCCTGCCGGCGCGTTTGCGGGGCTGGTGGGGAACCAGAGGAGAGTGGATGACCTGCCCCTCTCAAGCTTCCCCGAGCTGGCAGCGATGGAGGCCGCGTTCCAGCTGGGCAGCTCCCAGCTGCTGCTGCATCACGGCGGCGCCGTCACGGCCGGGCATCAAGCCTCGCCAGGCGGCGGCAGCGGCGCGGTTGCCCTGCCTCTGGTGGCCGCAGCGGGACGCGGCGTTGCAGGAGCAGCGGGCCTTGAGGCGGCTGGGGGGCAGACGAGAAGCAGTGGGCAGACCTCGCCGTCCCACCCCAACCAGCAGCAGCAGCAGCAGCAGCAGCAGCAGCAGCAGCAGCAGCAGGAGCAGCAGCAGCAGCAGCAGCAGCAGCAGCAGCAGCAGCAGCAGCAGCAGCAGCAAGAGCAGCAGCCCGACCCCACTGCCGTCTCCTGGGCGCGCCTCAACCCCTGGTTCGGCTCCGACCAGGCGATGACGTCAGCGGCCTACGCGGCCCACGACGATCTGATAGCAAAGGGCGCAAATCCTCGGACGGACGCGTACTTCCGAGGTATTGAGGCAGCGGTGGAGGCGGCGCTGCCCGAGGCGTGGGCAAGGTGGCGGGCGCGGGGGCGGCTCGAAGGCGCGAGGGGCAGAGGAGGCTCGCCGGAGGCGGGGGCGCCGCCGCTACAGGACGCGACGCGGGCGGCAGCAGGCGGCGGCGGCTCGCTGAAGCAGCGGGGCGGCGGGGGGGCGCCGCTGCGGCCAGGTGGGCGGGCAGCGGGGCTGAGGCGGGGCCGTGTTAGGGGGCCTCCATTTGAATTCCCCATGAACCCGGATAGCTGCCGCGGAGTCCCCATGTCAGGGGGCGCAAGCTCGATGCGCCCCCTGACCTCGACAAAGCAGCTCCGTTGACCAGAGACCACGGCTGTCCAACACTAGAAGCATCCCTCAACAACAAAAGTCACACCCCCTTGCCAATCAAAAATCGTTTGTCCCCTCTGCCCGTCCTTTCACCCCCTCAGGGTTGACCATGAGTCAGCTGATGGCGCACCCCCAGCTGGCCCAGATCAGCGCTTACAGGGCCGCACAGACCCCCGGCCCAGGCGCCCTCCCCGCCTCCCCCAGTCAGCACTTGACAGCAATCCCAATCGGGCTTCTGCTGCAGCCACGCGGCGGCGGCGGCGATGGCGCCGCAACAGCGCCAGCCGCAGCAGCGGACCATTATGCTGGTGGGGAGGGAGCGGCTTTGCAGCAGCAGCAGCAGCAGCAGCAGCAGCAGCAGCAGCAGCAGCAGCAGCAGCAGCAGCAGCAGCAGCAGTCGCAAGCGCTCCAGGCCTCCGCGGCTGCGGGCGTGTCGGCGCTCTACGGCCGTCCCTTGCTGCACCCAGCCGCCCCACATGGCGACACCTCACCCGAGCCGCCCTCTCCTGGCAGCCCGGAATATTGGACCCGACCTCCCAATCCTGGCCAGGGCAGCGGTGCGCCGGCCATGCCTCTTGCCGGCGCCGCTTGGGGCGGCGGCGGCGGGGCCGTTTGGCAGCCGCGCGGCGGCTACGCGGCGTGGCGGCCGGGGGTCGCCGCAGATGGCGCATGTGTGGCCGGCGCGGGGTCTGCCGAAGAGGCGCGCAGGGCTTACAAGGCGGAGAGGCAACTCGTGATCGACGAGCTGCGGCGGGCGCGCGAGGAGGCCGAGCGGCAGCGGCGGGCGATCCTGCTGCAGTTTGGCCGCGCGGTGGGGCGGCAGTGGCTGTGACGTCGGCGGCACTCCACACGTGCGGCGCGGCCGGGCGCGCGTCGCGCGTTGCGTGCGCCGCTGTGCGTGCTTTGCCACTTGTTGTACTCATACGTACTGTGCGATAGTACTGGCTAGTTGCGTTCCACGTCTGGTTTTCTGTGCGCGTAACAACAAACGCCAGCTCATAGCATTCACAGGGTTCAGGATTGCGTGAATTGCGCCGGTGAAGTGGCACAGGTAGAGGCCGTCGAGCGCCGGCCCATACAAGCATGGCACAACCAACAAAGAGTCACTGGCCCTGGTAGCGGGTGGCAACTGCTTGAAGGTTATGCGAATCAGCCGCGTATTGTGTGGGCACAATCGGCATGCAGCCCGGGGCAACTGTGCTGTCTAGCATGGGGCCGCCACCCGTCTGGTTGGCCGGGGGCCACCCCCTCCCACTGCGTCGTCCCTCTCATGCATGCATACAGTCGTCACTGCCGCCACACCTGTGGTTGTTTGGCGTAGAACATTTTGTGCGCTGTCACAGATCTATTACTCACGCCATGCCATTACTCACCAATGGTGCGCATGCATCAGGTGGTCAATCACGACTGTTCTCCTTGCATGCAGGGTTGGCAATGCCTGCGTTGCCGTGGCTTCCGTTCTCGCAGCAGTGCCGTGGACGGCACACCGCAATTGCAGTTGCATGAGTTGCATAACTATGTCATGAAAACAAAGCCACTCGTCTTGTTGCTTGCCCGTGTCGTGGCACACACAGGAGCAATCTAGTACTCAGGATAGACGCATGGTATGGGCACATCCATGCAACGCATCAAGGCTGACAAGCAAGAGCTGTTCAATGGTGCATGAGGGGGACAGTGGGTGCGTCGTGCAGGCTTTGAAACATAAGGCACTGAAAATGGGTGCCAAGCGTGCATACCATGCATGCATACATCTGCATGGTTGATGGACAAATTCGTCATGCGGTGGTGTCGTGAGTCAGCCGGATGAGGTAGGTGTGCCTGTTGTTTGGTCACTAAGTGTGACACCATCTGTGGATGTATGTGAGACCACAATGCTGGGGCCCAGCATTGGTAGGAAGCGCTCCATCCGTCAAGAGCGACTCGGGACATGTGCCAGAGTTGGCGGCACGCAGCCAAAGCACGGGAAATGCATACAGGTGCATGCCAGGTTCGGCAGGAAGGGCAAGAAAGCCCGACAGCTGGGTGGCTTTGCGTGGTTTTTGATGCACAGTAAATCTTGATGTGAAAGCCAGTGCGCTGTGGCTGCTGATGAGCGTGCGTTTCAAGTGAAGCCTACAACGAGAGGCACTTGGCCGAGCGGGAGCCCACGCTTCACGGCACGTGCGTGTGCAACCGGCGCGTCGCGTGTAAGCCCAAACGCGAAAGCAAGTTGGGCATCACAATCTTCAGTGCTCATCGTTGCCAACACCGTCTTTCTTGCTTGCCGACGGCAGTATACGCAGGTTCCTTGTCAAATCTTGTACTTGGCGTATGACAGGTTTGGCCCGAGGGCAGGACCGTTCAGGTCTCTGCCACTGACTGCCTCGCTTATCTCCACCGTCTGGCACTTGCTGTCGACGAGCACGGTGCCCTCGCGCTCAATCGGGGGCAAGCTCTTCGCCGGCGCCGGCACGCCTGATATGGTGACGGTGACGCTCTTGCCAACCTGCAGCGGCGTCGTCACCGCAGGGGCCGACACAAAGCCGGCGGTGGAGGATGTGTTGCAGCTGACCTGCGCCGACTGCAGAGCTGTGGTGTCAGGGGCCACAGACACGACGCCGGGCGCGCCGGGTCCGAGCCCCACGTTTTGGATTGTGACCTTGAAAACGAGTGTGTTGTCGGGCTTGGTTGTGACGATGGTCGTGACGCGCCATTCCGGCAGGGGCTCGGCCAGCACCAAGTAGTCTTGGTAGAAAATCGTGTCGGCTGTAGTGAGGGCCTTTGTCGACCCGCAGTCTGCGGTGGCGGGCCGTCCAGCCGTGCGGGGCGCGTGCAGCGAGGAGCGGCCGTCAGGATGCACGGGTGCGGGGTGCGGGGTGCGTGCGCGTGGCGTGCATGTGTGGAACCAAGGGTGCGTGTGTGTGTCAATATGGCTGACTTTTGGGACGCCGGACTGGCGTGGCAGCTGCTGTGGGACAAACCCGACGCATTGCAGCCACCAATTTTTTTGGATTGTGGTGGTTCCAGGCTTGCAAGGTGCGCAACTTGGGGGCTGCCATCACCCTGCTTTGCTGAAAACATCTAATTCACTGTCTCCATGCGACCCGCCCTTGCTCGCGAGTGGATGCGACAGCGACGCCAAAGCATGCACCCTTCACACACACCAGCCGGCCATGCGTTGCTTGAATGATTGCTTGCCCACAAATCAACCTCGCTCAGCAAGCAGCCGCCGCTGATTGCGACCAGCAGTCCGGGCACACTACAGCAGAATAGCGCCTACAAAAGGCGGTACAGCACAAGCGCAGGACACGTGCACATCAGCACACGCGGGGCAGCACACGCTGGAGCGCGGGCGCCCACCTGCGTCGAGAGCGCCCGCCAGCGTCCTCCACCCAGGAGTCGCGGGTGCGCGGAGCCCCTTGACGACAACGGTCTTGAACTTGCCGTCCGGTTTTACCACGACGGACTTGAACTTTGAAGTTGCAAACTCGGCCGTGGCGCCGCACGAGAAATTGAGCGAATTGAAGCCGGGGGACGCTGCCACCTGGAAAAACTTGATGACCCCCACCTTGGCATCGAGGCTGCCTTCGTTCTCAACATCAAACCGGATGCCGAAGGTCTTGGACGGCAGCACCGCGTTGAACCAGAACACGCCCTCGTACCTGGGGTGGGGGTTTGTGGATGGATGAGGAGGAGGGGGGAATGATCGATTCAGGGTATGCTGTGCTGCACGCTTGCGGTCTCTCCCTCAGGCCCCCTGGCATGGGCGACAACCGCAGGCAGTCCCTTGTGGTCGCAGTACCTTGCTGGTGCACTAAGAAATGTTTAGGGTTGACTAGATAGAGGCCGGCATGTATGGTGCTGGTTCTTCACTCACGCCCCAGCCAGCAGCAACCCATGCAGCTGCACAGATGCGTACAGCACCACACCTGCCGTTCTTGGCCCAGTCAACCCCGGCGAGGCTGAGTCTGGACACCGGGACCGCAGTGACGGTGTAGGGGTTAGCAAACTGCGGCAAGAGGGGACGACTTTTGAAGCGTGATCGCGCGACGGGCCTCTATCTGCCACTCCACACACCGCGCCATGCACCCCCGCGGTTGCGACATGAACACGTATTGCCAAGGAGAGGTTCGGCATTGCAATGGCGATTGCTGCGGCGACTGTGCAGATGAAAATCACCCGCGCATGGGTGGTTGTTACCTGGGTAAGGAACGGGATGGGGTTGAGCTTGCAGTCGCTGTCCACGAAGGCGCGGAGCACGCGCTCCCCTGCGCCCTGCGGCGCCTTGAGCTTGCGCACTTTGATGATCCGCTCGCCGCCCCCTGGAATCGGTGGCACGCGCAGTGTCAGGTCGCCGGTGGCCCCGCAAGCCTGGAAGGCGGGCTGGTCGACCCACACCTGCGAGAGCATGGGATGACGCGAGTGTGGGGCACCAACCAACACGAAACGATCAATTCGGCGCGCTTTCGAGATCACGAAAATCAACCAGGGGGCTGGCTGGTCTTCAAGAGAGCTCGAGTCGCGCGGCGCCTCCGCTGCGCGGGTCGCAGTAGTGCCGGCGCGCGCAAGGCGGCAGTGGAGGTGGGCGTTCTCGCCCACGGCGCATGGGCCTGGGCGAGTGCACGCGCCGCGCGCTGGCGCCCGCACACCTGCAGGTTGACCGCGGGGGACTTGTCGCCGCCGAAGTTCTTCACGGTGATGTCGATGGTCAGCGGGCCGCCGCCGGCGGGGCTCCTAGGGCGGATGTTGAATCGGTCCACAAAGAGGCGGGCGGGCCCCACTGCGGCCTGGGGCGCGCCTTGCTGTTGCTGGGCGGCGATGCTGGTGGGGCCAGTGGCAGGCCTTTTTACGATTGCAGAGGGAACCGGCGCGGCGCCTGGGTTCCAAAGCAAGGCAGTGAGGCAGGGGTGTATTCGGGATGGTGAGCTGAGAGGAGACGGCGTGATGAGCACTGGGGGGTGACGTGTTGCAGATGGGTGGGGCGGCGTGCGTGTGTATGTCGCGACCGATTGCACCAGACGGCAGAGCTGAATGCGACCCCAAAAGGCAAGACCGCTGGGTGGTTGATGATTCAGCTCGGATGCGAGCGTCGCTCCTCGCCCCCATGGTCAATGCTTCTCAGCCTCGCTGCCAGCCACTGGCGTGCCCACCTGCTGTCGCCGCCCCGATGGCCACCAGGCCAAGCAGCAGCAGCGGCAACGGCGGCGGCGGCCGAAGTCCGCGCGGGCCGATTGGCGCACGCAAGCTCCGTGCTGCTGGGGCCATGGCTCAAATGTCGCTGGACGCGTGTGCCTGTTGTGCAAGGTGGCCGACGCCGCGTTGTGCCAATGGCGCAATGATGGCGTGCACCCAGAACCCTGCCAGCGTCGGCGCGGTCGCGACCACAATAAGCCGAAACAAACTGCAATTTTACTAACAAATTGGTCCCCAGCCACGCAGATACCACGCAGAAAGACGCGTGGCTGGCGACCACCTGTCACCATCGAATTTCGAGCAGCAGTGCGGTCAGGCTCAATATTTATTTGAGGGACATAAAATCATCTTTTGCGTATCGCACGCTCACCTTCTGCGACAACGGCGCAGCGTTGCTCACGTCGCCTACAGCGCAAATTTGAGCGATATACCGTATGTGAGGCCTATAACACCGAATAAAAAGCACGTAGGTTGTTTATTGTGCAGGCTTTGCGACAATCGGAGGGGTTGGCGGCTCACTCCATGGCACCGCCATGGCCACAGCCACGCACTTGCGGGTCACCCCGGCATCGCCTCGTCACTTCTTGGCCACCGCACGCCGCGCCTGGGGCCGCTGGCGTAGTGTGAGGCGCGCGGCCTACACTTTTGCAGCAAGCGCTGTGCGACGCGCCATTTGAGGAGAACGCACGAACACGGACGGTGCCGTATGAAGGGTGATGCCGGGCGTCATGAGGTGCGTCGGACTCAAAAGCTAGCATCACCTGCACACAGCGCTTCCTGGGATGACCACAGCGCGAGGGGCCAGCCATACAAGCCTAAAGATTGGTGGGCGATGTATCCTGGTAAGGCCCCAAGCTGCACGCAATTGGCTCGCATTGTGGGGGTCATCGCGTCCACCGCAACACTCAGCTGGCGGTGCCGCAGAAAAAGAGCCGGTGAGCTCGCTCCTTAACCCTTTGGGCCCCGGCCTCACACGCTAATTCTGATGGGTGCACCACCCAGAGCAGCTTGCATGGGAAGCGGTGGCGTGCGGCCGCCTTGTATTAGTTATATTACGTCTATATATATCCTTCAACGCGATCTCACAACATATCATCCGCGTGAGGAGAGCAGCGACATTGATCCGAGTCGTGACAGCGCACCGAAGCGTAACAATGCTTAGCAGCGCGGCGCGCGCGATAAGGGATCTTTTACAAGTTACTCAACGATATAGTGTGCACTGTGTACGTTGCAGACATCGAATTTGTGCGGCGACAGCGCGGGTGATGCAGGCAGTTGCGCTGCACCCCAGCTTGAGAGCAGCCGTCGTCCAATTGTGCTCCATAGCACTCGAATACATAGATGGTGGTATTATTATCTTTTGAGGAGCATAAATCCGGCTACAGGCTCTGCAGCACCGTCTGGGCACACCCAGTCACCCTGCGCACCAGTGACAAACATGCCCCGCCTGCGTCGTCTGCACACAGCCTTCAGCCGGCCAAGGGCACAAAAAAGTTTGTTTTGAGGTTCTACTAACATATAAGCGCCGAAGAGGCATCATTAACCCACGCATGGTGCCATGGATTGAGGTGCAGCAAGACTGCTTTTGCGGTCTGCATCAACTACAGGATTTGGGCTGGGACCGGCTGCATCCACCGCGACCATTCAAACATAGCAACGGTAAAATCATGTATGTGTAATTGAGCACACATACACGCGTGCGCACTGCTGAAGCACATGATCTCCGCGGTGCTCCTTCAAACTTTGCATTTTCGCATCTTATGGGGCTTGGCTATCGCATGGGCGTCAGTTCTGGTGTATTGACCTGATTGGACGCGGGCGGAAGTGTTTTTGCGGTCTCGCGCGGTACTGCAAGGGGCTTTTGGGAATTAGAAACCCAACCAGGCAGCGGTCTATCCGGTTTCTATCCTGCTAGTTGCGGGTTGCGCCCCCCGGCGCCCCCCGCCCGCAATCTGGAGATGAAGGGGCACCTACTGCAGCTTGCAGAAGGGGATTTGGTGCTGTGAGCTGCACACAGCAGCTTGGCAAAGATTAGGCCCGTGCTCACGGGCACGGTCGGGGCTCAGAGGGTTAAGCCGTGGCTGGTGCACTCCAAAGCAACACACCCGCATCAGTGCGTGCGCCGCACTGACACGCGCCGGCGGTCGTGCGTCGCTCAGGGAGGATTA